TGAAGTGTTCAAATTATAGAAGAATTTCATGCCTAACATGTGTAAAGTTTTGTCAAACATGCTCACTCCTTTGCTCTACAGAGAGAGTGGCAAATGTCGGGTAGGCATTAGGAAAAACAAGTCCAGTACACCAGATCTTTAGTTGATTCTTAAAAGAGGTACTGAATTCCAGTCAAAACAACCAAGATTGTATGAGGCCATGCAATAAATTAATATACCACCCAAGCATAGTGAAAATGACACTGATGGATTTGTCATGTTCTGAATCCTGACTGAAGCATCCCCTGATTTCAGAATGTATAAAGGCAAGGTGACTTTAGACTGCCACCTGTTTAACTTAGCCCTTGATTACTTAATCAGGGATTCTGGCATCCAGACCTCAGGAACCGTAGTCACCATATCCATACAGCTACTGGCCTATGTGGATGATGCACAGCACACACACTCTCAGGACTAAAGGGTGCTTTCCTTGCTTAACCATAGGTTTTACCATTACTGAGGAGAAGAACAAATATGTACGTAGGAAGTGGTAATGGCCCGCTGACTAACTTCTTTGAGAGAATCAATAAACTCAACAACAAAAAACACTATCTGTATTAAACTCCTTTAATAACATCTCCCCTAGAGATTTATAAACATCCCCGATAGAACTTCCTACACAAGTTTCTTTTGGCCGTTCTTATTGTACTGGGTAAGTGCCTCTTTATATGTGCCCCATGTTTGGTCGAGCTTGGCTTTACTGAACAGTCTTTTTACCTGTCCTCTCCTTTTTCTTCTTCTTGCTCCACCGTATGGTTTTGGTTCTGTTCTTCCTTGCCCTTCCAGGGCAATTCCTTTCAAAAGCTTGCATAATTCCATCTTACTGATCACGACATAAATAATTGCGATACAGTTTTGCGGAACCTGACTGTGTTGCAGGTTTAGTATGCCAGAGCGCCGTTTTCGTAAACGGTTAAAAAATTCGCTCATAATTAGAATAATAAAATGTTTTTGCCCAAACTAAACATGTCTGGCCTTTCTATTCTCGCTTAGTGTTTTCAAGTTGCAAAAATAACTTAGAAATACAACCACATCACTAATTTTTTAAATAATACATAACAATGTTCAATTTTTCAGTTGATTTATTAACACTTTTCTCTATTTTTACAATGATTTATGTATGTTCAATTCAAGTAATAACTTGTACAAATACAAAATACATATCAACTCTTAATAATTTGATTTTCTTTCTTCTTCTTCAAGTGCCATGCCCTCGTAGAACGTTGGCGATCAGTAGCCTAAACTGGTTTCGATCCAAAGCTATTCTAAATAGATAAGCTACTGCGGACCATTGGCTTAAGTTCTTAAGCCAGAATGTTCTTCTACGCCCTGGGCCATCTATTTTTCCTTGAAGGATAACGTGCAGCAGATGATATTTCTCATTGCTCATTATGTGTCCACAATATTGTAATTTTCTTCCCTTTATGGTATTGAGGATTACTAGCTTTTTATTCATGTGCTGTAATACAGCCACATTAGTGACTCTAGCTGTCCAAGTTCAGAATTCGTCTGTACGTCCACATTTTGAATGCTTCCATCTTCTAGCATAATGTGTCTGTAAGGGTCCAAGTTTCAACCCCAAAGAGAAGTATACTAAATACATAGGATTGAAGTATTCGAGTACGAAGACTGACAGATAAGTCCCGGTTTGCAAAACTTTCCTCATTTTCTGGAAGGAATTTCTAGCTTGTTCAATTCTACAATGGATTTCACATGCAGGGTCCCAGTTATCCTTGACATAGCACCCCAAGTATTTATAAATGATACTCTCTCAATTATCTCACTGCCAATCTTGAGAAGGTTCTGTGAACCATTTTGTTTTTTACTGATAAACATCCATTTTGTCTTTTTCACGTTGAGTCGTAATCCCATGGTACTGCTTTCTGTAGCAACAGAATCCAACAATCCTTGCAAATCTGCCAGACTTGTTGCAAGCAGGACAGTGTCATCAGTGTATGTTATGTTATTAACAAGAACTCCATTCACCTGCATACCTTGGTTCTTTCCTTCCAGAGTATCCCGGAAAATTCTTTCTGAATACTTATTAAAAAGTAGAGGTGAGAGAATACAACCTCGATGAACACCTTTCATAATTGATACCTCTTCTGATATCTGACTATCTACCCAGACACCAGCACACTGATTCTAATACAAATTCTCAATCAACCTGATATCATGATCTAGGCCCAGTTCTTTAAGAATATTAATAAGTCTATCATGTTTAACTCAGTCAAATGCTTTTTCATAATCAATGAAGCAAACAAAAACATCGACATTGACTAAATATTGCCTTCTGAGTTCCAAATCCATTCCTGAATCAAATTGGCTAGCTCCAATGCTCTCTTTCCAATATATTCTTAAATTTAGGACTTTCAAAAATAACTTCAGGATGTGACTTATCAAACTGATTGTCTGGTATTCCTTACAACTTTTTAGGCAGGAGTTGGCCTCTGATTTTCAGATGTGCGTAATTTCGTATGGAGACACTCAGGGGAAAGGTATGCTCCAGGCTGTATGGTTCCTCAAGTGGCATTCCATGGTGGGTCATTGATGTTCTGGGGTCCTGGTTGTGCATGAAGATCTTTAACTTCACAGAGGTGCTTTCAAGACATAATCAAAAACATTTAGTGCCATTTGCCCCCCCCCCCCCCACATCATTCAGAGGTTCTTGCTAATGTAGGATAATGCCAAGCCCTATAGAGCTACCTGAACTAGCAGTGTGGCCATCTCAAAGTCCAGATTTCAACCAAATTGAACACATTTGGGACCGTCTTAAGTATTGAGTATGGTGGAAATCCTTGATATTAAAGGGGCAAAAACTTTTTTTTTCATTTTTATTTGTTTTTGTTAACCTATTTTTGGTATGCAAAACATGAATAAACTTAAATACATAAAATTTAAGGATGGTACGTTAATCCTTCGTATTTGTTAACATTGTATCTTTGGTTGTGTATATTTTCAGTAGTTGTTATATTCTGGACCCTTCTCCCATTCTAAATGTAAATTAGCTTAACATCTCATTCGAGTTCATTCACCATATTCATTAAATATAACTGTGAAAAGCGTAATTCAAATGCGTGCCGAATATGGATTGTTTGGTTGACCAATCAGGAGAAATAGCCTACTTTTTAATAAAAATGACTAATTTGTATTGAAAGTTTGTTGAAATGGTGATGACATCATCTCTGACTGTGGCTCTGAAAAATGGGAGAATAACATTAATGTCAGTCTTCTCAATGGACAATTTTATGTGATCATTGACATGTAAATTAACAGTGTGTGAATTTGAAAGTTTAAAAATCATGTTTAGATGAAAAAACATGATGTTTTTTTTATTTTTTTATTTGATTATAAAGGCATACAACCATGATGGGTCAAAGCTGCCTTGATGATGAATTAATCGATGAGAGAAGAAAACAGAGAGTGATAAGCCAGGAGGGGTAGGGACATCAAGAGTGGGCGCACCCCCACAGCGAACTGGACACCACAAGACCAGGCAAGAACCAGACACCCAGACCAGCTCCTCTCCACACAAGACCTTAGTGGTGAGACAGTGGCAGACTTCTCAGAGGGCTGCGCATGGTGTGCCAGCATCCGCAGCCCTCCCAAGTTCCGGAGTTCAACCCACCCACCTCCGGCACCGGCCCCCCAGGAGCTGCGCCCGCACCCACGGCTGCGCCGCCCTCCTACTCATTGTTTGTCACAATTTAACGGTCAACCCAGTTTCAGTCAGGAACTCAAAAAGCTTTCTAATGTTAGCTGGGGAATCTTTCAAAATTTCGGTCACATTGTTTCCAAGCTTATGTTTGACTCGAAGGTCTTCGTAGTTTCTGCATGTTGACAGAATATGATTGATGGTGATTATTTCACTACAAGTTGTGCATCTTGGGGGAGGTTCTCTGGCCATTAGCTAACCATGTGTTAGTCTTGTGTGACCTATCCTAAGCCTGGCCAGCACGGTTTCTTCTTTTCGAGATCTTTGCATTGCCATGCTCCACTGTCTGACACTTTCCTTAATTTCTCTGAGTTTGCTATCCTCGATATTTCGCCATTCCGATTGCCAGAGGTTCCAAATTTTTCCTTTAAGAAACACAGCAAAGTCTTCACATGGCACTTCCGGTAAATACCATTCGATGCAGCACATTTCACTGCTCGGTCAGCCTCCTTGTTGCCTTTTATACTACAGTGACTTGGGACCCACAAAAAACTAACTGCTGTACTCGTACTATTTTTTATTGCAAGTAAAATCTCTTGGATTCTTGGATTTGTGGAAAATTTGTTTTTGATGGTTAATAGAGCAAAAAGGGAATCTGTGCAGACAACTAGGGCTGTGTGGTTCGAGTTTAGGATGTTAATGCATATATTGATCGCAATTAATTCGGCAGTGTAGTTGCTACTTATCTGAGAAAGAGAGAACATAATTTTTCTACCCTAATAAACAAATGCCGCTCCGACACCACTTGGGTTACTGGAACGATCCATAAATGCGAAAGTTGCGTTTGGGATTGTACTTTTTATTCTTAAAAATTCTTTTTTATAAATGTATGAGGGAGTATTTTCATGATGTTTAAACGACAAGTTAACTCAGACTTGTAATAATTTTCAAATATTTGTTAATATAATCTTTGACCTGGCAGGTAGAAATGTTAGAGAAAAATGAAACAAACAAAAATGTTCTACGGTGACAGAATGAGGAATGTTCTCATTTAGCCCGTTCTTCAGTTAGAGGATAGTAGTAATTAAACCGTGTTGTTAATTAATTGAGTATGATTGTTAAATTGGCCGACCTCTTTAGGAATTTATTTCAACATTGAGAAAAAATTGTATTTTTTACAATTTGGCTAAAATGAATGATAAATGTTAAAAGGTTTTGATGTTTTATACATAACTTTTTTGGGCAAAAGAGCAAATTAAAATTATATTTCTTGGTGTCTAAACTGATTGTCTTCTTTGTTTTTTAGGTCCAAAACTTTCTTCCTTCAATTTCTGCTGCGATAGGCAATTACAAGACACAGAGATTTGTGTGGGGTACAGCGATTGCAATGCACTCGGGCCCGAGGTTCATGTTTGCAGCAGTCTACAGGCAATATTACCGAGATGTGTTAAACATAAAGGCTCAGAAACTTGCACTGACAGCTTGCGTATTAAGCGTAATAGAAAACATTGCCCTCATAGGGCTAACATTTATAACATCTGCCTACAATTATGGTAAATTGAAATATAAGATTTTTTTTTTTCTGGCTCTGACGATTTATTCTTGCAGCGATTCACGAAAAGTGTTTTATGACTTTCATGGTCACTTCTGAACTCTACATGGCTATAACCTGCTACCTCTTGACGAGGGAAAGACGGATACCAGCTGACAACATGGAGAGTAGGTCGTTGAGATATAAATACCAGCTTCTTGCCATCAACATGACCTCTTTTGCTGCGGCGGGGTATTTTTTCATCAGACACAACCGACACTGTGAGCCATATGGTAAAAAATCATTTTATTATACACTCCTTATAGATCATAGGCTTTGTTGTTAGATTGATATTGGTAATGAATAAAAGTGTTTATATCAGAAATCTTTTCTTGCAGTGTATTCTGCATTTGCGTTTTTTGAGTACATCGTGGTGGTGACCAACATGGCATTTCACACGACAGTCTGTTTAGACTTCCACGCGAGGTCTCTGCTCATCGATTCAAACGGGCTGGAAGTGGTTAGCTGACTATCACTGGAACGGTGGGAGCCAGCAGGATAACAGACGGCCCCGGGGGCAGCGGCTGACATCCAGGCGGGAGTCGGTGAAAACGGCGGGGGGATTTACGTCACCCTGGTCGAGCCACTGCCGCCTCTGCCCCCGCCGCTGCCTCCACAGGAAGAGCCGGATGATAGCGTTTATGGTTTCGGGGCTGAGTGGCTTCTTGCTGTCGACTGCCGCACGAATTGGAGGTTTAGCCAGAACAACTACGTCATATCCGTACTTAAGTCCTGATGCTTCAAGCAAGCAGGTTGTCCAGTGTGAGTTCACTTAACGTTATTCTGGATTTTAAAATAGTGTATCCAGGAGACTGATTGTTTATTTAATACGAAAATGAACATTCCAAGAGAAAATGTGTTTTCCTCTCAAGATTTTAACAAACGGGTATTTCTTAAGGGGGATAGGTTAACAAATGTGTTAACCTCAATAGTTTAGGACTAAGATCTCATTCAAGATATAAACTATTTCATCAATTTATTATATGTCCACTCCCTTTAATATTTGAAAATAACTTATATAAAAAACAAAAAGTGGTTATATCCCGTTTTTTCCTATTTATATTTGTCACTGTTCATGCATATTTTTCACTTTCAAGATTTATAATTGCAGTTAAGTCATCAGTAAACAAAAACCTGTTTGTTTTGTGTGATTTTATATTGATTATAATTGTTACTTAATTTTTTTTTACGGTTTGGGATGTTTGGGGGCAGTTTTTTGCAGTATTGATTTGTTACTTCAGTATATAAATTGTGATATTTATATTTTCAGCAAATTATGAATTTGCGCGTTTCATTCAATTTAACATCGAGTTCATGCTTAATTGGTTTGAAGAAAATATTGTTTTGTATTTTGTGTAAAATGTTGAACTGTTACGATCATATTATTCACTTATATTTCACATTACACCATTAGTTCGGATTGGGGGGGGGGGGTTGTTATACTGTAATTAAGCTTGGTATGCTTTTGTCGAATTGTAGTGTCAAATGGAATAACACAATTGAAGGAGGAGATTACAATTGTACCATAACTACTGATTTTAAATACACTGCTGAGCAGTCCAATTAAACATTTGTATAATAAAAAAATATATTCATTAGTGTATAAATTATTCATTATGTATTGTGAGTATTAATTGAAAAATAATTTTAGTTTTAATATCCAATTGATGCTTTGTGATACTTTTGTTTTCCTTTGGGGGAAAAAGTTTCAACAATTTTTTATGGTTGTCTTCAAATTCACCTGCTCCTTTCAGGAGCCGACCTTTTTAAAAGAAAATATATTTTTATAAAAATATTGAACAAAAGGAGTCATTTTAGTAATATAGATCATTTTGTGAATCGAAATTTTAGGCAAAAACAAGAGGAAAATTAAAGATTAAATTTGATTTTAATTGAACCCTATTACTTTGTTCTTCCATGCCCTTTTTTTTCTTAACTTAAAACTTACATCTGCTGAATTTTCAACTTTGTTTGCTTTTAATGTCACAAAAATCAAAATTGAATGACTTTTAGTTACTTGTTGTGATATATAAACAGTATAAACTTTTTTATTTTTTCTGTTATGCTTTTATTTATGTTTAATTAAATATATTGGTTGATTGGTGTGTTAATTATGCAAATAAAAATAACAAGAATTATTTTATTATTGCTCAAAAGTATTTTTTATGAATGTTAAGAAACCAAAGCCACTGCCAATTAAAGGGCTTGAATTGTTTTCAAACCTTTATGTACAAAATTATGTTTTAAATTTGAGTGCAAAACTATTCTGCAGAGATTGTTAAGAAATACAAGAAAAGTGACAGCAATTTAAAAAAAGGGCAAATGTTTCTTGTTTTTCTTAAAAATAGTATAATTTGGAACTTTATAGCTTAGAAGTGTTTTTCGTGTACATGAAAGTATTTTTGATGTTACGTTTCAAAAGTAGAATCAGTTTTGAATTTTTTTTTGTAAAATAATGAGGCTGTTAAAAGAGGAAATAATTTCTTCCATGGATGCAATACTTCCAGCTATATTTTATTGAAAGAAACTTTGTATATAATAATTGTTCTACATAAAAATCTGTCCAAACTGGTCTCATCTCTTTGTATCGATTGACTTTTGATTTAGAACATGGTTATTGTTAGTTGTACATTAAAAAAAATAGAAATACATGTGTATATAGGACCAAAGATAGATGCACTTAAATGTTATTTAAATATGGAATTTTAGAAATTATCATAAGCTGTGTCTTTATAAAGTGCCTATTGCCACAAATTGATTATAGACATCCTTGTTTCATCTTCATTCATTTATTTTCTTCCATAATTCAGTGGGCGTTCAATTTACAGGAACAGTTAGCTGTTACAACATGTATTTAATATTTGCATATAAGATATACGTTTTCACACTGATTTATCCATGTTCATATTAAGCAATCTTGATTTTTATGTGACCATTTTATTATAGATATTATTAAGAAAAAAGAAAAAAAAAAAAAAAGAAAACTAAGCGTGATAAATTATGTATGATTCAAATGTAGATTAAAACAAAAGTGTAATCCTCCCTATATTTATAATAATTAATTTTTCGTAAATGTATTATAAAAATATGTACATATATGTGACTCTAAGAGCATTATAATTAAAAAATTTATTACTCAAGTGTTTATGAATTTTCCTTACATATAAACAGGTAAAAATAAGCTTTGTAGTTTTTTACTACAATATCATTGTACATTACTAAGGCAGGGAATATACTTACCTGATGCAATGCTACCCTATGTAACCTGAAGCCACCCGATGCAAATCCATGTCCAATTTTACATAAGATTGTATTACCCTCGTGCACGCTACTCTACTCTACACTACGCGATTCCAACTGTTCAGATTTTCGTCGAGTAGCATCGAGCACAGTCAAAGACAAAAGAACCGGACCACGGAGAGCTTTAGTGAAGTATACTACACGACATTTGAAAAAGCCGCAACACACCAGATTCATCACAACAGTGAGTCGGGGCAGTCCGGACTCAGGCTAGACGCAGCCGAGACTCTCCGGAGATTCAAAGAGTCGACTCAAAGAATCCCAGTACTAGGTAGGTCTAAGAGTATATTGAAGTGGTGAATAAGTACAAATATTTGTGTTTTAATTTTACACCTTACCTTTCCCTTGATGGTAGAATTTCTGCTATTTATGCATGTGCAGATACTGACAGGAAGAGGAGTCGACTGCAGAACACATTTTATGCACTTATGAAGCTGCATATTTTTACAAATAGAAGAGGAAAAGCCGCAAGCAAGATTTTACACTAAGAAGTTGCTGGCAAGGTTTTGGAGGTTGATCAACAACCTGAAGCTGGCCAGTGCAGAAGGCCTTGGGGCCGCCTCTTTCATCCCTATTCCCTATCCCAAAGTTTATTATAGATATGCAAATGTTATTTCCTTTATTTGTATATTTTTGTTTTACTTATTGGTTTATATTTGTATGCATAGCTTTTTCATTGCTGTGGTCCATTAAAGTTTTTAGAAAAAAAGAATTAAAATCTGTTGGTCCGTCGGTCTGTCTGTCTTCCTCTCTCTCTCTCTCTCTCTCTCTCTCTCTCTCTCTCTCTCCCTCCCTATCTCTCTCTCTCTCTCCCTCTCCCTATCTCTCTCTCTCTCTAAGGAAAATAAATAACAACTTGCCTTTTAATACAACTTTATTTTAATAATGTTTATTTAAAAAACAATATGGTGGTCAAGCTGAGTTTAAACGATACATCTAGAAAATACATCTATGTCTAAGTTTACAATAAATTAATCAATACTTTTGCACTAAAACAATGTTCTATCGATGCAGCTCTACAACAAAACAACTGGGAAAAAAAAAAAAAAAAAAAAAAAAAAATGAANCTACAGAAGCAAAAAAAAAAAAAAAAAAAAAAAAACTGAATTGTAAACATGTCTGCCAGTCATTACATTTTCCTAATTTTTTAACCATTTCTCTTAAAGCTTCAAATCAATCTTCTATAAATCAACAGAAAAAAAATCTGTCAATAAATTTTTCAGAAACTATTATTTTAGTGATTGTGAAAATCAAGTTATCAAAGAAGAAAATGTGAATACATTATTATTGAAAGTTTTGGATCAAGCAAGATAGCTACAACTAGAATAATATTCCAACAAAAGAAATTAATAATTATTTAACATCGTTTACTTTCCACTAATTACATAATCTTACTCTTTATTGAATAAACCAATATATTAACACAAACATTAACTATGAACTGTCCAATCTCTAACTTGACCTACACTAATTATTTTATTAGGTTAACTATCATATAATTAACCACATTCACATATATATACATATATAGTTTAATATTTCTTCTTAAAATTAACACTCTTTTTTTAAATATAAATAAATTTGGCAAATTATTTTTCTTTCATTCACAAAATATCAGACCTGAGGTTGAGCCGAAACTTTGCCAATGAGTTCTAAGGTATTGTCTAGTTCTTGGTAATTAATTGTGTTAAATTTTGCTCTGGTTAAGACAATTTAACAATATCGTTGCATAGTAAGAAGAATGGGAAAATATCTTACATCTGCAAACTTACATAATTGGTGAGGTTGGCAGGATTTTTGTATTTTCAAAAATTTTCGCTCTTTTGTTTGAACAATTGTCACATGAGGGTGTGCAATTAAGCTTAAGACTGACTGAGTTATGCTTCTTTGACAACAATTAGGGAAGCACCATTTAGCTCAGCCTGCAAAAATGTGCTTTAAATGAAGACACCAATTATTTTAATCCATTGATTCTATATTATTGAAATAGAATCTATAATGCTGAAACAATATTAATCTATTTTTTAAAATGCTATTTACAATAATTACAGGGATCACATATATAAATGTTAGTTTTATTTCATTTTTGTAATATTAGGTAATATTGTCACTTTTTTGAATAAAAGTCCCAATCATAGACATAAACTTTCAAAGTGACTTCCCTATACAATAGATTTTCCTTTTTTTGGTAACTTCTTCAGTGGATATCTAACAATTAAGATAATAATTATAAATATTAGTTTTTGATAACTAAAGACTCCCTGAGTTACCATGCTTTTTTACACATCCGTGAGTGCTTGCTTTTAATACATTTTAAATGATACGATGATCAACTAGGAAAAAAAAACAATCTATACCGCCCTACACAAATTACATCTAAATATTTTAAATAGGAAAATATAAATGTAACAGCCTAGATTAACACATAGTTAACATTTCATTTATAATTTATATGTAAAGAGCAAGCATTACGTTCTCAACTTTTTTTTAAAAGTTTGACTCTTCTTGTTTAAGGCATAATATTTAAAACAGTTTATTTATTTATCAGTTTTAAAAAAAAAGAAGCGTTTTTATGTCATTGTCACATCAAAATGGAACTCCACATCTAAATACTTCAATACACTTTTTGTATAAATTACTAAGTATTTAAAACATGTTGGCATTGGTTTACTCAAAAAACTGCCTGCTACTGCAAATTTTACTTATTAATACTTTTTTTATAGCAAGTCTCTCCAGCAACTACATGCATGCAAATTGTAAAAGTGGTGACCAGTCCTGTCACAAAACCTGAAATATGAGTTTTTATTTGATGTTGGTGACGTTGCACTGCATTGTCTGATAACAACATAAATACAATGATTGCTTTTGACATCATAAAAATGTGGATCCTACTAAGGAAGCACATTATGCTAATGTTGTTCAAAACTCTTTTTTTGTACTTACATTCAAACAATTAAAAAACATTACAAAAAACATTGTTCATATGTTCAAGTTTTTTTGTAAATACTATTTCCTTTTCAACTTTTATTATATTCTTGAACAGATGGAGTACAATAATTGTGAATGTCACATTTTGTTTTGGATATTCAAGCTGCCCAATAAAAACAAATCTTTAAAATATTAAATTCAAAAATGGAACATACAATACTATACATATGGAAGACTAACACATTTTTTACATGTTATGTATGAGTATATAACATAATTTTACACATTTTTTATTTCACTGACTGTCACTCCAAAGAATACGTTTCAAAATGGTAAAGAAGGATAAATGCTTTGATAGAGAAATTATTCAGGAAATGAACTATAGTGAAAAAATGATGTAATTCATGTAATGCAGCCTGTTATAAGCCTGTTTTACTCATATATGAATTAGCTCATTAGTTATGAAAAAATAAGTCAATTACCATTTTTGATGTGAGCATTGTGTTTGTCAAACTTGTCAGACCCAAACTATGTCTGATAATTTGGATTATCAAGACCTTTGGGTATCCTCACATCCAAATTTGATTTCTGGTCTGCTCTTTTGATCGGAGTGTGGGGGATGAGTAGATGGTTGGGCCTGCATCCGAGGATCCTCAGTTTGCTGTCTATGTTAAACCTTGGGCTCTCGAGAACCGACGGGTCACAAATTTCACGGACAGTCGACTTGTCAAGGGCTCCAAAACCGTAGACGGGGTTCTCAAGATTGGGCTCGTCGTGAAGAATGCTGGAACTTTGGTAGTTGTCTTCGATCCAAGATCCTGAAGGAGGGCCGTTGCGGTCGACGAACGCACCTGAATAAATGACTTTGAGGGGGCCGCCAATCGGTGCGGGTGGTTCTTCCATCCTCTGATGTCTCGGAAGAGCCCAAGGTGCTGTGAACAAAGGCTTGTCTCTCTTCCAAGGCCATTTGATCTTCATCGGGAGGAGGTACAACCGGCATAACGCCACGATCAATGGTATCAAAAGGAAGATGCAAATCGTACCGATCCAGATGTAAACAGCTCTTTCGATGTCACCGTGATGGTCTGAGACAACGACGCTAGTTTCAGAAGCGACTTCGTCGAGAGCCAAAGGCTGCTGGGATCTCAGGCTCAAAAATCGTACGACGTGATATTCTTCTCCTGAGAGTTCTAAAAGAGTCGCGTTTGTCTCCGCTAATTTATGAAGAGGTGCTTCTTCTTCTCCAAAAAGACGTTCATTCAGGTCGAATTCTTCATCTAGGTTTCCCATACCCGAAGGGACGACGCTCACGTTGACCATAAGCCTAGGTGGTGCCAAAACTACTTTATTGAGTTTCACCTCATCGTATTCGAGAGACAGTCTAGCCGCTAAGTTGAGCTTTAAATACTTTGCAAAATCTTTCTGCCTCAGACGAACGATTGTCGAATTCCCAGCGAGCAACAGTAGAAACCATCTGCCTCCTCCAGTCTGTTCATCTGAACTGCTCTCTGTTTTCCCTATTTCCATCTGATCGAATGTATCATTATTCGCTTGAAAAACTATGTTTTCCAAAAGCTTCTCTTGCTCTTCGCTGTCCCTGTCCCACTTTTTGAAAGGCGTATCCGCGTCATAGCTCTCGTCTATCTCCGACAACGTCGGCATCGCTAACACGTCGTAAACCGACTTGGGCTTCACGTCGTCTTTTCTCATTTCCTCTTCTTCTTGATCGCTTTCGAAACCGTCTTGGTTGTTGTAGTCGAATTTGTGCATGATCTGATTCTTGCTATCGTCCATAGAATCCGTGTCGTCCGGTTTTTTGAAACTGTTCAACGCCTTATCTAGATCCGCATCGGTCAGGTCCTGCTTTTCTCCCATGTCGTTGTCATTTGTAAACAGTTTTCGTAGATCCTCGACTAAATCGTACCTGTAATAATGATCCAGGTTAGTGGATTTTTCGTCGTTCTCGTCATAGTTCTCGGAGGTGCTGGTAGTCGGCTCGGTCGTGCTTTCAGATGTCACATCCTGTTCTAATTTTGTTACGGATTTTGCCAGATTTAGCTCGGTCTTACTGGCGTTTTTGTCCGTTGAACTGTAGTTGAACCTGTCAAATCCGAAGTCAGTATCTGTCGTGGTCTCATTTTCATTTGGATAGATTGAGAGCGGATCGTTCGTGCTGAAAAAACTCCTAGTGGTGAGCTCGCTTTGATCCTGCAGGCTCAGGGTGATAAGTTGGCTTTCCTTTGTGTTGTTGTCGTTCGCTGTCGAATCCAGCTGCTGTGGTGACGTCGCTGCAGAGGGCTTTGCACCGCTGGGCTCAAAGGTGGCCGACGTCTGCTTCTTGGTGTTCCACTGGCTTGACGTAGAAGGAGCGTGGGTGGTGGCTGCTTTGGTCCAGTGCGTCGGCTCATCGTGGTTCAGCTGCGAGTAATCAGTCACTAAAAAGAATAAAAGGCCAAATTAATTTCTGTTTATAGCTGTGGCAGTAAATATACAAATTTTTCTTAAATTGAATTGAAACAAAAATATTATACCAAATTGATTTTATTCCAGTTTTCTTAATGAATGCTACTTTTTATAATTAAAAATACAAGTTAGGTATTTAACTTAGAGTTCACATTTGTCAGAAAAATTAATATGTGTTGAAGACTAATGAACTTGCCAAAAATAATTTTTTGAAATGTGATTTAAAAGAAAACTGCAAAAATAACTGATTAAGATTTCATCTATAGAGTAGCAGTTTATTTTTAATATTTTTACTGTAGGATCTTTAAGAAAACCATACGTACTAGGAAGAGCAGAAGGTCTAGGAAGAGTCCCCAATACTAATGAAAGAACCGCAAGTAGTATTATCATCTCCATTTTTCCGTTTCAGTTTGTTTCCACCATCTGAAACATAATAACATTTAATTATTATATGTCCTTTCTTCAAACAATAAATTATGAAAACGAGAAAAGAATTGGTTTTAAAGTCTAAGATCATAAAACCTCTTTAAAAGCAGGTAACATTACTTTTCTTGGAATTTCTGGAAGATTGCCACGTCTAGGCTTAACCAAAGAAAAAAAATCGAACGTTGGTATTAAAGATCGACTATTTTACGGGAAAACGGTCGTAAACTATCGTAGAATTCTGGCCAGTGCACTCCTGGTCCTTATCTTTGCGTGTTTTCGGCCATAACCGTTTTTTTACTCCCTCCGACTTTTCCTTCAAAAAGGAAGTCTTATCAGCTTTGGCAGACTCTGCGCTTTAATGGAACTCTATTGAAGAAATGATATAAGTATCCTGTCTCTATTGTAAGCTTATGATGAATGGCCAAGAGTGATAGACTGTCTGTCTAATCATTCATCACTTTATGAGTTTCGACCGTTTGCTCAGTGACATTACTTAACGCGCTTCAGTTGCGTTATATAACTACATTCTATTAAAATAAAGTAACAGTACACAATGTACTAACATTTTCATTTAATACAAAAAATCAAACATTAAACAATAGTTTTTGTTTGGAAATATTCGTTTAATATTTTGTTTTTGGTAATTTTGATAATTACGTCAAATAATTTCAAATAGTAGTTTGAAAATAAACTTGTAATAACATTAACAGTATGTGTAAGTGAATTAAAGTCATAATTGTGTTGTTTTAGTATTTACAAAGATGTAGAAAGAATTTTTATTATTCCATTGATTTCTACTTGTGATTTTAGACACTCTTTCTCCACGGTTAATTATTAAAGGGGAAGTAATGTCTTATTATTCACTACCAATTTGTGCAAAATCGGAAATAGTGGAAAGACAAATCAGTGTTTTCACGAAGGAAAGATGTCAAGTCATACAAGTAACATATTTGACACATATACTGAACAAAGGCGTACCATGATGATTAATCGTATCAGAATGCTCAGTAGCAAGATTTTTCCTACTTAAAAAATAAGGATTTGTATATTTTTTTCAGGCAGAGAAGGATGTATGGGGCATTGGGCTAATCCTACCCGCACCACACAACCGTTGTACGCAATGATATAGCCACCGCTGCTGCTAGGATTTCATAAAAATTCTGGAACGCAGCATGCTCGATACAATCCTATTGCTTATTTAAGTTTTACTTAAATCGTACATTTATTTTAACAAAAAAGGACGTTTAGAGTACTTGGGAAAATTATTTTTGAAATTCGTGTAATTTTGAGAATGTTCTAAATATATTCACTAGTTTTCGTGATCCGCTTGACCAGTTAATATTTTTCAATTAATTAAGGTTTTTAATGGAGATAAAAAAGTCAGTGTCACGAGCGGGATTCGAACCCACCACCTTCGGCTAGATACGCCGCTACTCTACCACTTGAGCTATCGTGAGCTTGGTTGTGGGTTCGAATCCCGCTCGTGACACTGACTTTTTTCTCAACTAAAAACCTTAATTAATTGAAAGTTCTACATATAATTGGATCTACGATGTTTTTTAATAAAATTTGAATCTTGAATTTTCTAAGACAAATAAGAAAAAAAGCTGTAGGAAAAGAAGCTTCAATCTGTGCCGAATGGTTTACTTTTAGTTTTTTGTTCAGACGATCTGAAAATAAATCAATCGAAATCACCTTCCAAATCAAACGCTGAGGGATAACAATTTTTAAAAAAATACAGCTATGAAATTCGACTGGGAATGGATGAAAACGGATAAAATTTTAATTTGCGGCAGACTTTTTTAACCTGTGTTGTACTGGCTACTCCAACATGAAGTTTCTCCTTTTATTAATTTTTTATTGGTTAAGAGATCATTTATGTGTTTTACTCGTAAAATGGTTTCAATCAGGATATTTCTTTTACAAAGTACAATGTTATATTTCATTCGTCTACTTTACAACAAAAATTGTAAAAATAGTAGTGAAAGTTCAAGAAACCGTTTTCTTCGAGAAAAATGACAGTATTGAGGGATTGATGGTTGAGGTCTGTAAGGTGATCAATTTGGTCGTTTAAGAATTCCTGATGGAGGAAAACATCGAAGATAGGCGGGCCAGGATGTATTAATTAATTGCGGTAGCATGTTCACCAGTACAACATGAATACTTAAAAAAGAACGTTTTATTGTTATTTTTCTAGGAATACGGGGCCTGGGCCGACCGTACCCGCACAGCAGGACTGTTGTGCGGAATGGTATAAGCTAAGCAGAGGTTTCATTCCTCCACACCGACTCTCGACTTATTGCAGTACTATTTGTTTAATACAATCCGATATCATAACAAATTAACTTGAATAATATTTTATTTTAATCCAAAATAAACTTTTTCTAGAATATGATGGAACACAGAGAGGATAGACATATACGAACTATCAAAAATGACAAACCAGTGAAAAGTTAAATTCAAAACAGACCAAAGCACAACATAACAATACAACAATATAACAATAAAAAAAGTATTTATATAACATTTAAAATGTAAATATCATATCGGTGCATTGAAATAAAAATTTAATGTTGCTCTCTAATTAAAAAATTACAGCAGATAAGGTAAATCGATTCAACCTCTCATATTTTGAAGTATTTGATGCACCGTATAAATAATATTTCAACCTATACAAATCGGAGATAATTAAATGAGATGTTTCTCGTAATAGAACATTGTTCAACAAAATGGTAAATGCTCGTTTAGATTTTGTTTTGCGTAAAAATTTACACTGTCTCCCCTGAAAAATGGGAGATATTTAAAGGGACTCGTGTCTTAATAATAGCCAAATTAATTCAAACAGCTTGACATCATTTGTATTACTTTAAAAAGTAAAATATTTCTTGTGAGAAATTTTGAATAGAACACGAAGAGTCAGATCAGATTTGTCGCACTCAACAAATTATAGACAATTAATGGGGAATCCAATCCGGCAATACAGCATAACAGCGGTCTCTATTTGTATTGGTAAGATAGCAAAATTAAAATGTACAGACCCGGCTAAAGCGACAAAATTTAACTGTCATTATATATATTATGGAAGGAAAAGAAGGGAAATACAATAATTTAAAAACAAAATTACTTATTCTTACCTTTTTTTATATTTTAAGTTTCAGAACCGGCAAACTACCTTGATCATCGCCAGCCCTCTTTTCTTTAGCTTTGCATTTCTTTTTTTTATCTTTTTACACCACTAATTTCTTTTAATGATTCTCCAGCCAGGTTACGATGTTTTATGTTATAATGGTAACCAACTCTCTTTTCTTTATCTTATTGCTAGCATCTCTGTGTCTCAGGGCCTCGTGAATTGTGGAAAAAATAACACACCGACCACAAATTACACAGAAGCAAAAAAAAAAAAAAAAAAAAAAAACCCATGGAGGTCTGGTTAGCATTCCCACCACCCCAGAGTACTCGATATTCCTTCGGGTAACTGGGGATATGATCCTCCGTGCACGCTAATAAATTCCTTTTCCCTGTCAGGTGATTTACTCTGATTGCGGTACGAATTTTGTAGGTACCAGAGGAGAACTTGAACGATTGTCCCATTTCACGAATTCCGAGGCCTATCATCGAACTTTGACGCAAGATCTGGCGGACTATCGAATAGAGTGGAAAAATATCCCACCAGGGGTTCCCCATTTCGGGGGAATCTGGGAGGCAAATATTAAATCGGTTAAGTCCCATCTTTTGCGAGTTATTGGGACTCAGATTCTAACATATGAGGAGCTGAACTCCATCCTGATTCAAATCGAGTCGCTATTAAATTCGCGTCCACTGTGTGCCCTCAGGGCGGATCCATCGGAGCCACTTGCGCTAACGCCGGCTCACTTCTTAACACTGACACAAGTATGTTACAAGGGAGAATTTGATCGATATACCCCTTAATCATTTGTCGCGTTATCAATTGCTGGACCAAATAGTTCAATCTTTTTGGGATCGATGGAGGAAGGAGTATCTGCACGAGCTCCAAGTTCGTAAAAAATGGTCGAAGACGGTTCCTTCTCTGAGTCCAGGAACGGTGGTGGTCGTGGATCGGCCGAACGTCCCTCCATTAAAATGGCCGTTGGGGGTGGTGGAAAAGGTGTTTCCAGGGGAAGATGGGGTAGTTCGCGTAGTCACTGTACGGACTCCTACGGGTGTTTACAAACGTCCGGTGGTCTTTATCCGCTCCCCAATCAATAGTGATTTTCCTTTGCTGTATATAGTGTGTATATAGTTTTGTAAATATATTTGGTGGTTGGTTTTTTAAAGATAAATTTATTTCGTTTCCATTTTTTTAAAAGATAATAATGGAAACATAAAACCTTTGCCCTTTACTAGATATTAATCTTATTTGAGAACACCATACAAAATGGTAAAATATGTTTGTTATGCATTATTTTAAGTTAACATTTATAAATTAATGCACTCGTGTTTAATGTAATCGTATAAGCACAGAATTATAAAGATGCCAAGGTATGTTATATACCTTATAGAATATATTATTATATATAATATATTATATATATTTCTAAGCGAAGTTTTTATTAAAAAAACTGATTGTCTTGAAAAGGAGTACCCAACTATTGTTAAGACAGCGAGCCCATAGTTTATGCTAGGCAATATCGTTTTATGTTTTTAATGCAACGGGACAAAGGACGTTGTCAAAAATGATCACCGGTCCTTCAAAAGCAAAGGAAAGTGGCTTTTTTTCTCGTGAGGCCAGAGACGCTTTTTATCGCCAAATCCTTTTAGGAGCGACCGTTAACCAGCGCACATCGCCTTTTCCAAATATCAGCCCGTTATCGGGACGAAATTAATCCGGTTCAATTTTTAATCGTGGACGGTGTTTGTTCCGCCCTTGCTCCATAATTCAGCCGACAAACGTCTGCTGGGGTGGGATTCGGATCGGCAACGCATGAAACTAGGGTTTTTGTACCTTTCTCACTTATTCAAGGGCCGGCTCGGCAAAC